TATATATATATATATATATTTATACAGATGTAAAAGAAGTCTGACTTGGCTCTGCTTACAATGGTTATTGGCAAATAATCATTACGGAACAAAAATCTTACTACTGCAAACACTGCAAGATATTTGAACACCCGTGAGAGAAATATTTCAGATTGCACCCACAGTTGAGAACCAATAGTCAAAAATAGGAACATGATGTTAGTGCACATCACATGCTTGAACGCGCTCCCAACAAAACTAATGACAACCAACCTGAGGGAGGAATCATCATATGACAGAAAATTGTGTCTGCCCCTAAGAACCCTTCTTCTGACCATAATATCAGAGATAATGTTCAGACCGAAAGTCGGGATAGCCCCACAGCTCTTATTCAGAAAGCATTAGATGCAGAGGTGACAATTCACACTTCACAGACACTGGAAATTATCACTGTGGCAATGACTGTCTTTCCTTTTACTGTGGTTCTAATATCTAATCAAACCGATGATCACATGAGCCAGTCCTCAGATGAAGAATGACAAGTTTACACTTTCCGACAGAAGAAGAAGGTTGGGGCACACTCCAACTTGGAAACTTAATAGATGATACATTGGTTACTCTTGACAATAACACGATGCTTCAAAGTTTGTTATATGACTCCGCTCTTAAAACCAGAGGAAGAGGCAGAACTAAACTAGATCATCCCTAGCTACTTGTTTTCTGCATGTTTTAAGTTTTTTGAGTCTATATGTATCTTTTGTTGGGGTAATAATGTACTTGGTTAGTATGGGTAAGGTGCCTCTACTGGGCCCTCTCATACAGCCTTTATGTATCTTTTCTGTTTCAATAAAATCAGTTATTGAGCTTTTCACTATATATATATATATATATATATATATATTACAAACTCATGCACCACATATGTAAGATTTTCAATATAAAATTTCTTGATTGAAAGTCTAAGCTATTAACTAACAATAAAAGATGAACTATATAATATTAAGAACTTTAAAAGTGGGGAATTAATAAGACAATTAGGTTTTACACCATAATTAAGGCAGTGTTAGGGAGCACTTTTTTTTTTCATTCATTGTTTTTATTTTATTTGCTTATGTTTTGAATTAAAATAAGACTTGTTTGATATGTTAAGAGAAGTTTAGGGTTTGTTTGGGATTACATTTTTTTATTGTTATTATCTTTTCTTATTTTCAAGAATATATTTGCTTAGTATAATTTGAATATTTTTTTTAACAAAGCATATATTTTTTAAATACTTAAAATAAATTTTAGATGCTTTTAAGTAATTTAAGAAAATGCTACTTTATTTAAACCTATTAATCATATTTTGTTTAAAATCAAAATATAAACAAAATAAAAAAAAAAAATCTAAACAACCACTTAGCTATTTTTTAAAAACCTTTTAAATATTTACAAATTATTTTGAATATTTTGAAAAAATAAGTTGATTTATTTTAAAAAATGCTAAACAAAAAATTTTGAAAAAATATATTGAATAAATATATATTTTTAAAGTTTTCTCCTAAAATATTGAATATAACATATTAATGTTGCAAACTTTAAATAAATTATTTTAACCACCCAAAAGTGTCACTCAATGCCTTCACTGGTGGGTAAAAGAGGATACTGTAATAAAAGATGGTTAAAATGTTATAAATAAAATTTGAGTAATTAAAATATTATATTTAATATTTTTAATAATTAGTATAAAAAAATCTTATTTTTTAAACTAATAAGAAAAAGTTATTTCAATCAACTTTTAATACATTTTTAAGTTCTATTGTGAGTTATAGACTTCTTTCTATCCTCTACATTTTAACCACACTTTTGATGTCAAACTTATGGTCTGTTTTGGGCGGCAGAGCGAGCGATTTTGCTATTTGAGTAAATATATTCTTGATAGTTTTTTCAAAAAAGTATCGCTGAAATCTGCGTTTTCATATTACTCCTAGCTAGGTGCAGTGACAACTTTCAAGCTACAGTTAAACTTAAAAAATAATAACCGCAATTTTTTTTTTTCATTAAAACTGCTCTTTAAGTTACCCTTAATTGTAACCACAACAATCTAGAATGTGGGATTTGGGACATGAACTTTTATTTTGACATTTATATGCTAGTTTTACTCATTTTCTTTGTTTATTTATTATTTTATTTATTTATTTTTTCAAATTGTAAGCTAACAATTTTTGTAATTTTAACTCAACATCGAACAAGTGCTCCACCAAGGCTCCGACCACGTCTCAGTGGAGTCTCTCCACCGTAGCCATGGAGCATCCCAGCTCCTCGTCTCCCCTGCGAGTCCTAATCCGCCCACCTCTTCCGGCGACAACCTTACCAGCCGTCGCTCCCATCGCTGCCTCCCCTTCACCGCTGCATTCCATCCCCTCTTCCAACCCTCCACCTCAGAATCTCAACCCTAACCCTTCTTCATCTTCCTCTTCTGCTCCTTCAACTTCCTCCGTTTCCTCATCCCCGATCGGCGTCGTCGTCGTTGGGTTTCTCGGCAGCAAACCATCTACTGACCTCGCCCATCTCATCAATCGCCTCCTCGACGATAACGTATTTGGCTCCGGCGGCCTCGAGAAGGATCTCCACGCCTCTTCGACGGGCTTGCTCAATTGCCGGAGGGTCGGATACCACCATCAGCCGGAGACAGGGATGGTATTTCTTCATTTCTCCCCTTCTTCTCCTTCGAGGCTGCTTCTTCTTTCTTCTTCGACATCGGAGGGGCCGGACGAGGGCGCCGCTTCGGTTTTGGAGGAATGCGAGGCCGAAGATCTCCGATATATGCTCCTCATGTTCTCCGTGAGTTGTTTTCTCCTTCTATTTCTCCGCTCCTCTATCAATATAAACGTTTTTCTATAACCTCAACAAAAACCAGGTTTGTCATGTGATTGTGTTCGTCCATGAGGGTTTGCGATTTGACGTACAAATCTTAAAGAAGTTTCGAACGTTGCAAGCTGCAAAGCATGCTCTTATCCCATTCTTGAAATCCCAAATCGCACCATTAGCTTCGTCTAAACAATCTTTAGCCATTTCCCAGCCTAATGTTGTGGGAGGCTCTTCGGTTTCACCCCCTACTAGAAGGGGAGGTTCTTCAAGCCGACATGCTTCGGCAATTTCTCTCATGTCAGGCAACGGTTCACATCCATCCATGCTTCCTGGCCTGTGTATTCCTGTTGTTCTCTTTGTTTTTGAAGATGACTTCACTGATGCTTCCAATGCCATGGCCAATGTGGATGATCTGACTGATGCTTATAGGCAAAACTTGGCAGTCAAAGGATCAGGTTCATTGGTAATGCTTGCACGCCCTGCTAGTAAAGCTGAAGGTAGTTTCAGAAAGAGACTGCAGTCATCTCTGGAGGCACAGATTCGATTTTTGATAAAAAAATGCAGAGTTCTTGCTGGGACCGACCACTTTCATAGTGGATCAAGGGGAGTTGGGAGTGCTAATTCCCTCCCTTTGTTCTTACTCGATGCATCAAAGGTTGTTGCTCTTTTAGACGGCTCAGCGAATCAAAGAGGCGAACCCTTGAACTTTATTACTAGTCTAGTAGAAGAAGCTTTAAATTCCAAGGACAAAGTGGATGTACTTATGCTTGAAAATCATTGTGAGAATTTACACAATGAGGATATTCAATCAGTAAAGGATTTCATCTTAAGACAGGCTGATATGCTAAGAGGGAGAGGTGGATTGCCAAGTAATGTGAATAGTGGCTCTGTTGCTGGTGTTGGTGTACCGCCCCCCGCCGCTGCAGCATCAGCAGCTGCTGGTAAATTAGGGAGTGCTCCTGAGTTACCTAGTATGGAAAGCTGGCTAAAATCCACTAATCATATCCTTGAAGCATTGCTCTTCTTAGGTCATGGCATAGCGGATGACATAGCAAATGCATCAGGATTAACTGTCCAACGAAGTACAACAGAGACACGTGATTGGCATGCTGTTGAAGATTCTATATCTTGCCTGGAGAGCAGTAAGGATATGAACATGAAGTTTTCAGTATCTTGGTGCAAAAGAGCTCTTCCAGCTGCCAAGGACATTTATCTAAAAGATCTTCCTGCTTACTATCCAACTTCAATGCACAACACTCACTTGGAGAATGCTTTGTTTGCTTTTAATTCAATGGTTAAAGGACCAGCCATAAGAATGTTTACAAAAAAACTTGCAGATGAATGTACATCAATCTGGGAAGCAGGGAGACAACTTTGTGATGCTGTCAGCTTGACTGGAAAGCCTTGCATGCACCGCCGGCATGATGTAAATAACAGTAATTCGTCTAAGGAAGATTCCGTATTTCAGCATTCAAGTGGTTATGTTTTTCTTCATGCTTGTGCTTGTGGACGTTCAAGACGTCTGCGCAATGATCCTTTTGATTTTGAAAGAGCAAATATAACCTTTAATCATTTCAACAGTTGTGAAAATCTCCTTCCTAGCCTCTCTTTCTCAAATTTAGCCGGTGAAGGACCACTTCCTCCCACTCATTGGAGTTTATGGCGTATTGGAGGAGCAGGATATTATGAACCTTCCAAAGGTTTACTTCAAACTGGATTTTGTTCTTACCAGAAGTTTTTGATGAAGTGGACAATTTCAACTGATAAAAAAGCCGAAACAAATAGCTTTCCCCTTGGAGTGACTGGAAAAAGCTCTATAGTAACTTTGAAACCCGGGCCAGAAGTCATGCCTCCCAGGAATGAAGGAAAAAAGAAGCCCACTGAAACTAAATTTCACGATGAAGTTCAGGCCTTATCAGAAAGCCAGAGAAAAACATCAGAGATTGTGTCATCCAATGTAACAAGCATCAGTTTTGGTAAAGGTCTTCCATCTTTCACCATGAAGAAGCCTTTTGCTGAGGTTGTTGCAGGTACAGCAATTGCTGATTCGAAACCGCTTGCTCTTAAGCAGAGAAAATATTCAAAAGATGTTACAGATCCAGGCACCAGGTCATCGGGAGTAAACAAACAAAATGATGGTACAAAAAATGTAATTGATGATCGCCAGGCATCCCAGGGACCTGAGCATGTTTCTGCTTTACAATTCTCAATAAAACCTGAAACCAATCACCAAACCAGTGTTAACCCATATTTACAAATTGGAACAAACATGGTTCCAGTGGAAATATCTAGTAGTGGGGATACAAACAGAACCAGTTCTTCAAAGCAATCTACTGTATATGTTGGCTTTGAGCATGAGTGTTCTTATGGTCATCGCTTTCTATTATCCACAGAGCATCTGAATGACCTGGATTCTTCATATTCAGTGGATCCTAAACAGCTTTCTTCTATCAATGTTTCTGAAGGAAAAAATCCTGTAACTAAGATTGGAGTGTATGAGATGCAGGATCATTATTCATCTGGGAAAACTGCTTCTGTGATTAACTTGAAGAAAAACAGCAAAGTTAATGAGCCCGTGTCAGCTAATGGTGGTCAAAATCACGAAAGCTTCACAATGTTTTCTAGGGAGGGAATGGAAAATATCCAGTCTGTCCAGGGCTTCTCCATGCTTCCTGAGTCTGTTCATCAATTTGAAGAAAAGCTTTCCCATGTTAGACTCGATGATGGCAGTTCTGCATTTTCTCTTTTAACAAGAGCCTTGCCTGTTTACATGAAATGTCCTCATTGCAATAATGCTGCTAAACAGACACAGCAGAAGGTCAAATTTGCAAGTAAGGTTTCACAACTTCAGCGGATCTTTCTGGTAAGCAGCATTCTAAAGATGTTATTCTAGTTTATTAGCTTCTAGGTTTTGTTTTTATCATTATTTATTTTTATGCAGGGCCTTGGATAAATCCATTGTAAAAATGTGCTTAATATTATTCTCGAGTATTGTTGATATAAACCCATTCTTATGCGCTTACGTGCACATTTTGGAACATTGTTGGCATGTCTGTTAATAAATTTCCTTAGTTGTTTTGGAATTGAAATCAAATCGAGTGGTGTCTTTTTACTTTGAAATGATTATTTTTTTCAGCAAAAGTCATCTCAAACTTGGTCAAATTACCTCATACGCACTTGATTGACACAGTAATACTCTAGTTTGTGCATAGCTAGCTCGGTCATTTAGATCAACACAATCAATTTGCTATAACCTAGCTGTCAATTGTTTGCCTAGTCTGCACAACCCACCTAGACAACTTTTACTTTTTTATGCTTGAACGAATTCTGTTCAGCTGAGCCACCCATATAACCTCGTTGGTTTTGCTTGACCCACCTACACAAATTACAACCAACATGAATACATGTGGGCTATCACTAAAATTGTGTCCATCATCCCCAAGCATGCTGGGCCAACACCATGATGTGTTGGTTGATTCTAATCAAGCTGACCAATCCTCGAATGAGTCGACAAGGGTTTAGCTTGTAGGCCAAATGATTGGTTGATTCTAAATGATTTGCTTTCTTGTGAAGGGTCGCTCAGTCAACCTCAAGTATTTAATAACTCAAAACTATTTTCTCACATTAAAAACATCATTTACATCTGTGTTAGTTGAAACTTTACATATTATGAGGCAAGCCTTCAATGTTTTAATCAAGGTTATTAAATGTTGAATCTCATCAAATCTAGTAAATCTTACACCTAATTAAAGATAAAATTGATTATCAAGTTCTAAAAATCAATATCTCAAGTGGATTATTGTTATTCATTAATTGCTTCTATGTGATCATTTTGGCTTCCTAAGCTCGCCAATACTCACGTAATACGCCAAGTGATCAGTAATTTACATTTTTCAAGGATCACCATTTTTAACAATTCCCCCAAATGTCAATCGAGGTACTATATCACGATCACTTTGACCAACCATTGCTTTTAATGTGGTACCTCGACTTCAATTCCTCAAATTCTAAAGCTTCATTGTGCACCAAGCCCATTAATATTACATTAATGCTACTAGGAAGTATCAATCATAGTCATTGTAGCTTGTGTAGCCATCATTGTTGTTCCCTATTGTTTGATCCTCAAGACACTACAAACACCTTATAATCAACTCACCAAAGGGGGTTATCAACTCATATAAACATGCATTCACTTGAACGCATTGGCATTTATGAAGCTCTCCGAAGTTGGTGGCTGGATTTAAAGCCATTCATAAGTTTTCAAATATGTTCATTGTTCTCTTTTGAGTTCATTGAGGTTTGGAACTATTTTACTAAAACATACTATTATGCAACTATTAAGACAACATTATTTAACAAAATGTGTATTTCACGATTAACAATATGAAGAATCATATATGATTTAATTTTATTGATATAAGACATAAAACTAAATGACTTTAATCAAGAATTATTTAAAAGCAAGAAATATTACTAGAACTTAGAAACACAATTACTCATCTTGATTTAACTTGTTTTTCTCATTTTTTTAGAAATCTTCTTTTTCTTTTAGCAATCTCTTTGAGTTCTTTGGGTTCATTCATAAGTTTTCAAATTTGTTCGTTGTTCTCTTTGAGTTCATTGAGGTTTTAAGCACCTTTCTTGCCGGAAATCCTCGCCTGCCCTACTCATAAGCTGGAAGCAACGACGGGTTCGCTAGCGTATAGAGACCATAAATTCTTCACGCCTACCTGTTCATTTGGATCGCGCTGCTCAAAAATCTCACGAAACTTTGGCTCGCCGGCTTCTTCTGATCGATCGCCTTTGCACTCAGTCGCGTATGCTGGAAAGACAACGAGAGATTGCTGCGAAAGGAATCAACAATGAAGGAATAGAACTTCTGGCAAGCCGAGCCAATAAAAGAAAAAACCATAATGACATACATCAAAAGGCTTCCTAAACTTTTCTATATTTTAAAAGTCCTCTTCTTTCCTTATGTTCGTGCCATGCAAGAGCTCTCTTTCACCTCTACTATTCATTTGAAACATTTTTTTTATCCCAAAATATTTACTAGTTTCCTCAAATTTCTCCCTGCCTCACATGCGATCCCAAAACAAAACTTCTTTCTCACCTCACATGCGATCCCAAAACAAAACTTCTTTCTCATGGTAGCCATGTATATATATGTATATATATATGTATATATATGTATATATATATGTATATATATGTATATATATATGTATATATATGTATATATATATGTATATATATGTATATATATATGTATATATATGTATATATATGTATATATGTATATACATATATATATATGTATATACATATAT